ATTTATTAGCCTACAGAGAAAGCATCCTTGCACCCTCTCACATTCTAACTTTCTTAGGTATCTTTGTACCCTGCCTGTCTGCTGAAGAAGATAAAGCCCGGCGGGCTGGGGTGAGGAGGGAACCACAGTGACATGCTGTGGGAGTTTGTCCCTCCTCCTGGTGCAGAGGGAAAGCAAGAGAGTTGACAAGAGGAAGTTTAGGGGTGGCTGGGAGGCAGAGAGGCTCCTGCTACAGCAAAGGCTGAGGTGATACAGCTGAACCTGAGGAAAAGGCAGGAATGGGAAGGAGGCACTGACATGAGTGGTACTTCGAGGGGAGCATTAGCTGAGCGTAATGATGAGTTAGATATAGGGTAAGAGTGAAGTCAGCGTTAAACATAGCTGCAAGGTTTGAGCTGGTTTGTGGGGATAAGCCAAGGAGTACGAGGGAATCTGGGGCAGCATGCTCCCACTGAAAGGCACGGAGTTGAGGAAAGCTGATTTTAAAATTGAGATAGGCCAGGCGCGGTGGCTCACACCTGTAATCCCAACACTTTGGGAGGCTGAGGAGGTCGGATCACTTGAGGTCAAAAGTTCAAGACCAGCCTGGCCAACATGGTGAAAACCCCCATCTCTACTAAAAATACAAAAATTAGCTGGGCATGGTGGCAGGCACCTGTAATCCCAGCTATTCAGGAGGCTTTGGCAGGAGAATCACTTGAACCCAGGAGGTAGAGGTTGCAGTGAGCCAAGATGGCGCCACTGTACTTCTCCAGCGACAGAAGAAGGGGTGTGAAGGAGACTAACAAAATGGAAAAAGAGAAATGGGCCCAAATTATTAAAACCAATCCAAGGAGTTACTGAGTAATAAACTTACCAGGGTAAGTGACAAGGACAAAATGAGTTCTGCTACTTTATCTGTTTAATGGTCACAGACATGACTCAGTCATGTTTTTATTTTTTTTTAAAAAATTTATTTACAGCACCATTGTACATCTTTGAAAGTTATGCCCACGTACATACATTACTGGGGTATTCGTGTGCAATTATTATGAGTTATTTAAACTTTATGTTTTAGAGTTTTGACAATTCTCCCAAATGTGAGGATTACAACACTGGCAAAATTGCCTGTGAGAACAGGTGGAGAATTTTTTAAGCAACAAAACTCCACAATACTGTAACATAACCTCAGATCTCCAGGAAGACGTCACCCTCCCTTGAAAATCATCCTTTCTGGATTGTTCTCATTAGAGTGCAGAGCAGGTTCTATGTCTCTGGCGTGGCTTTGTACTAAGAGGTGACAGTTGATCATCTAGCAAACATTCAAGAAAATTCCATGTAAACAAAAAGGTACAAAATAAAACGTGTGAAAACAGAAGCACCAGAAAATGACTCATCTGTATTATCTAAACTCCAGATGGGTAACAACATGCAAATTACATTGAGGATTATCGTTAGATGCAATTCCAATTGAGAAAGTTTTTGGTGCAACACCTCATTCCCACCTGTGACTACTCAAGTGTAAATAAACTAAGAAGCACAGATACTCAATGCTTTATCAGGTGCATGCAGTCAGTGATCATTCATCCAAATTTAAAATTCAAATCAGGTCATGTTCCCTCATTTTTTTCTATGCCAGTTTTTTCGTTTTGTTTTTTTTTTTTCAGTCTTTTACTACAAGAATGTGAAAATATATTTAAAAGCAGGATACTTTAAAATCAGGAAATGTATTTTGCTCTCTTGAAGAAAATAGATAAGATTTGGCAAAGGATAAAATTAGCCATAAATGACAAAGACATTTTTAACAACTGAACTTGTCAATAGCGCTAAGATGAGCTGCTTACCAGGAACTAATAACAAGAAACATCATGAAGTTTAAAGTTGATCATTTTAAACATGAAGGAGAATTAAACATCTGAACCCCAGGAATCAATTGTGCTGATAACTATCCAGTCTCATTTGGTAGTGGACTCATCAAATTGAAGATATTCAGGAGTTAAAGAGATCAGCACAGAAGAGTGAGACCAAATGCTTTTTTCTTCATTTCATTTAATATTATAATGACTGATATGTATGAAGGGATTTGTAAGGGCTTTTCATTTCAAATTACATTTTTTCTTTAAATGTCCAAAGTTCCTATGTAGGAACAATTGCAATTTTTATGAATAGGCTACTCTTGCCTTTAAAAATATGTTTTTAAAGAGCAAATTCTGCAGAATTCATTATTAAAAGGACTATGGGACTTTGAAGAGGCTTTCATCAACATTGTCTCTAAATTACCCTTAGTTTTACCCAGTGGCTCAGAACTTGGGGCAAATTTTTTTCCCTAGGTTATATGTGGCAATGTCTGGAGACGTTGTTTATAGTCACAACTGAGGGGACAGGACCAGCATTTATGAATAGAGATCAGGGGTGCTACTAAATATCCTACAATACACATCTCACATCAGGAGCAAGAACACATCCAATTCAAAATGTGAATAATGCCAAGACTGAGAACCCCTGGACTAACGCTCACAAATGTTCTTATGACCTCACAGGGCAGCTGTCTCACTGTAATCCCAAACCTACCTGAGTGATGTCCTTGACATTCAAAACATCTATTCCTACTGAACTTTAGAGTTTTTTGTTTACCACTACTGGAGTTTGCTCAGCCAACGGCAAACAAACAAACAAAAAAAAGAACTAAATATGGAGAAGAGAATATTCTTAATCCTTCCTCAAGTAATGTCTATCTATTTTATTGATATTTTATCAAGAAATTAGAGAGTAATTTTTTTTTCTGTCAACAATGGAGCCTGGTATCTCTGTGGGCATTCATAATGGCCCAATATCATGAAAAAAAATTAACCTATATTTTCAAAAGCAATGTTGGGAGTCAAAAAATGAAGCAGATATAGTATTTCCTATAGCCAATGCTAAAATAATGTGGAAAGGACTGTTTCTACAGAAACAAAAATGCAGTAGGGCCGTGTAGAAGGCAGGTTAGCACACAGGACAACTGGTGCCTGACCTAACAAACAAACTATTTAAACATGTTTAAACATATGACTTTAAACATTATATCAGTTCTTTAACAAATGGTGCAGGGTCTGTGGGGTGAGGGGGGTTGTAAATAACCTAAGCATACAGGAGCACCAAACTGAGTGGCAGTGTTTTTCTAATATTAAAGGAAAATAGTGCTGTTTTAAATCTACTGTTTATCAGCTGCTACTGACTCCAAAGCAGGGCTACTTCAAAGGGAAAAAGAAGACTCTTGTATTTTCTTGGGAGAATTAAAAGGCAGGACAATTAAAGAGAGAGTGAAACCCAAGTGAAAATAGCATACAGCAGGTATCAAAGTGCCAGAGGTGGCGAATGCCAGCCAGCCAACCCAATACAAAATAATTGCGCTGAGCTTGATTGGACATTATTAAACGCACTCAGCCAAACTGCCTTAAAAAGGTATTATTTCATATTGACTCCAGGCCATAATCTGGTAAGTGTCTATCAAGATAGTTTTCTAAAGTTAGGTTTAATTATAGTGGAATTAAGTGCCTTTTCTTATCCAGAAAAATATTTTAGAGATTAAAGAACTGCGTTTAAATGCAAACTAATATGCATTCCTTCAGCCAGTTGCACAAAAACTGTGAAATTAAAATTTTTCCCTTTTAATAAAGGCAAAATGATGTGAGATCAAATAAGACCTTCAGATTTGGAAGTCAGAGAAAAATTTCTTTTTTTGGCTTGGTCTAAGCATTTCAACCTATGTTTATGTAAAAGAATCTGGCCCACTTGACTGGGCGCGGTGGCTCACGCCTATAATCCCAGCACTTTGGGAGGCCGAGGCAGGTGGATCACGAGGTCAAGAGATCGAGACCATCCTGGTCAACATGGT